ATTCCTGTATGGCATTGCCAGTTGCTGTCTGACTTCTTGCCCTATCAATCCAAGCAACAACAAACTGTTTCCGCAAATGATGACCGCAAAATATCTTTACAAAACTGTAGGACCTCAAGAAGGGGAATCTTGCTTAAATCTGAATACGTAACCCGCCAAACAAAACTGTGGTGGCACCGTCTCAGGTACCCGAATGTTGCATGATTCGGAAAAGAGCTGCAAACCAAGGTAAATAGGGGCAAGACAACAGCAGGGCCCAACATGACCATCTGTATTGAATATTGGTATCCCTATCCTACACTCTCACCCTGAATCCTGAGGTAAGCGGCCCCAAATGACCTAAAATCTAGTCCCCGAAAAGCATTGTCTCTCTCACGGCGCCCTCAGAGTGAAGTGCCGCATCTCAACGTTCCCAAACATGGACCATGAAAATGCCATCTCAGAACAGGCTCTAAACAGAAGCCATGACAGCAGCAGCACCATCACATGGTAGTTGCTCGAAAGTGGCTATCCCTAAATTGGCCGTAACGAAGGTTCCCTTTTTGATCGGAAACTTCCTTTCAGAAAGTGTATTCCCAATGCTTCCTCCTTTACAAGGACCCGTAGAACAACCCTAAACCTCAACCTGAACCCCTAAACCCTAAATCCTGAACTCGAAACCTAACTCTTATATCAGCTGTAGTCTACTTTATAGTCGTCCGTTTCATGGTCCCATTTGTAATCCCCTACATTATTCACCTCCCTGCGCAGAGTTTTAGACTACAGCTCATGTCTTCATCCTTACAAGGCCCACACTGAGGCCCGGACTGTCATGGCGGGACCGAGATGCGGTTGTGTGAAGTGAGCTCGCGTGACTCTGCTCTGTTTGGGTTCCTCATCTGCCTTTGGTCCTATACTCCTGGGGCCTAGGTGTGAACCACCTGAAACTGTATCACCTAAACTGGCCTCAACTTTACCCTACAAGCCAGTATGGGGGTTCGTAAGCAGAATACCCGACCCTTCTGCGAAATACGTCTTTATGTACGCCTCCAACTCCAAGATCATCCACAGATTTACCTACCGAGCGCGTGATCGCTTGTGCCTGGTCTCTCACCAACCTAATCCACTCAGCTGTGAGCACAAAAATCAATGGAAGGTGGTGCGAGGACATTGGGTGTACCGCGGAAGCCTACAAATGAGCCTAAGAAAAGAACTGTGGTCATCAAGTGCCCGCCTTGGATCCCATGTTGGTTTGGGGGAGCGAAGGCCTTGAGGGCCCAGAGACTATGGTTCAGGGGATTTCTGTGCAATTCTTATTTGGCTGGGATCTGTATGCGTGGACACAAGATTTTTTCACAAAGCATACCGCCCACGAGCTGTGTGACCTTAAGTAGTAGACTGCACGTCCTCGCCGGCACAAGCCTCCTGCAGCAAACGTACAATCTCTTCGTGCCCACGTTCTGCTGCTAGCATGTAAGCTGTCTTGCCCTCAATATTCCGCACGTCCTTCTTGGCACCGGCCTCAAGCAGCAACCGTGCAATCTCCTCGAAACCACGTGTTGCTGCGAGCATGAAGGCTGTCTCGCGGTCAACATTCTGCATGTCCTTCGTGGCACCAGCCTCCAGCAGCAGTCGTGCAATCTCCTTGTGGCCACTGCTTGCTGCATACATGAGAGCCGTGTAGCAAATGTATTCGCCGTCATTCTGCACGTCCTTGTCGGCACCAGCCTCAAGCAGCAACTGTACAACTTCCTCGTGGCCGCGTGCTGCTGCCAGCATGAGAGCTGTGTCGCCGTGAACATTCTGAAAGTCCTTGTCGGCACCGGCCTCCAGCAGCAATTGTGCAATCTCGTTGCGGCCATTGCTTGCTGCATACATGAGAGCTGTGTAGCCGTTGATAGCCCGCGCGTGCACGTCGGCACCAGCCTCAAGCAGCAACCGTGCAATCTCCACGTGGCCTTTTTCGGCTGCTTGCAGGAGTGCATACGCAGTGTAGCAGCGAGTGCTGCCCTGCGCGTCCTTGTCAGCACCAGCCTCAAGCAGCAACCTCACAACCTCCTCGTGGCCACGTTCTGCTGCCAGCGTGAAAGCTGTCTCGCCGTCAATATTCTGCACGTCCTTGTTGGCACCAGCCTCCAGCAGCATTCGTGCAATCTGCCTGTGGCCATTGCTTGCTGCATACGTGAGAGCTGTGTAGCCGTTGATAGCCAGCACGTGCATGTCCGCAGCAGCCTCGAGCAGCAACCGTACAATCTCCTCGTGGCCTTTGTTGGCTGCGTGCATGAGACCGGTGCAACCAGAGCCGGCCTGCATGTCCGTGTAGGCACCAGCCTCCAGCAGCATTCGTGTAACTTGCAAGTTCCCCATCTCGCAAGCTTCAAGAAGCTCTTTGGCGGCCTCCAGCGGCTGCCTGGCCACCGAATGGGCCGAAAGGACTAGTTGCATGGACATGTCGGAAGAGGCATCTAGGTCAGTGAAATCGTCGAAATCGTCCAGGCTATTGCCTTCGTAAACTAACTCTTGCATGCAAATTGGAAAGCCACGCAGCCTGCGTACTGAGCTCTTCAAGTCTCTTACGTCGCGGATTTCCTCCATGCCCATGGCGAGCAGCTCCTGTCCTGACACCGTCCATATGCGGATCATTGCGTCAAGCAGGCCTATCACAAGCAATGCTAACAGAAGAACGGTGAGTAAGGTTCTGCACCTTACAGGGTTGTACTGCTAAAGTCGCAATTATGGCCTTGTCGCTCTGAGCGTGCTCCCTGGTGCCGAAATATGCCGTCTTCAAACTGGGATCCGCTTCGTACATCTTAAGGTTTCGGGGGTTTGGGGTTTACAGTTTTGGGGTTTGGGGTTTAGGGTCCGGAATTGGAACTTGTATCTCCGTACCACTCCTGCCTGCCTTCACACCAAGCTCTCGGGTCTTTATTAATCGCTGATGACCTTGGGCAGCATTACTCTAAGTTCCTGGGACCCCTGGCAGCCATTATGATTTCTCAGCTGCTTCTTAGGGTTTTAGATAATAGCTGAATTCAAAGAATGCGTCAGGGAATTTCCAGATTTGCATGGAAGTCAGAAGGCTATAACCTTCTGACTTCTATGCAAGTCTGGAAGTTCCCTAATGTAAGTACCCCTGCATACTTACAAGAGCTTCCCCTTCTCATCATGATCCCTCTACTGTCACGAACAAGGATGCCTGGACAGTCTCCTCAGAATTCCTATACGGGAATTTCCAAAAAGAGTGGTCCCCGTACAGAGCCCAATACTCTCTACTCCTTGTTTTGGGGGGACCAATGAAATGCCACTGGCTCTCGAACCCACCCCCCATATTATGCCTCTGAGTTCCCTAGAGGGCACCTACGTTGAAATTGGAGTTTGGGTTTGAGGCTTAGGAGTTTGTGATTTCGGTTTAAATTTTAGTGTTTATACCTAAACCCTAAAGCCTAGACCCTAAAACCGAAAACCCTAAACCCATAAAGCTTAGGTGTAGAAGTTGAACGGGTCTGGGGTTTGGGGTGCGCACTCACCAATGTTCCAGAAGAGGGCAGCATACACACATCATAACCGCTGCATGATCGCAAGCTTACTTCCCCCAGAAATAACCACACCCTCCTCCAAACCCCTAAACCCTAAACCCCTAAATCCCTAATCAACTAATATGGAATCCCGTAATGTTCCTGTTACATTTGACAGCCGTCTCCACATGAACCTCAAAGCCTGAAGCTCTCAACCCTGCAAGGTTTAGGGTCCAGGGTTCGGAGTGTAGGGCTTCGGGTGTGGAATCCTAATTCCTAAGCATGAAGAGGCTTGTGCTGGCGGAAACTTGCAGAATTTGTGGGGCATGGAACCAATCCCTGAATCCTAAACTCTTGAACCCTAAACCTGCTCTGTCGGTCACAATGCCAAACGACTAAAACCCGGTGCGCAAGACCCAAACACCCTTAGAGTCAGATCGTGCCCCCAGCGATTCAGAGTTTATCCCTAATCTTGGTGAACCCCTGCTATGGAGAACTTGGAACCCTAGTAAAAATTACATTTTTACTGTTCCTTAGGATTATAATAAGCGAAGAGTTAAAATTCATCTCCAAGTACCCCTAAGCCTAACCGCTAAACCCGAAATCTATACCCTAAATCCTATACATCCCTCTATAACCTTTTTAAAGGTACCGAATCTATGGAGCAATTCTCGACAAACCCAGACTGCCGTGACGGGACCGAAATGCGGTTGAAAGCTCCCGCGACTCTACTCTGATTGGGCCCCTCAACTGCCTCTGGTCCTACATAGTCCCCCTTAAGTATATAGAATATGGCTTTGGGTAAATTATAATAAGATCCCCATATACCCCATATTCTATCTACTTACGGGGGGCTATACTCCTGAGGCCTAGGGCGGAACTTTACAATACGAGCCAACATATGGGTTCGTAAGCAGAATACCTAACCCCTCAGCCAAATACATCTTCATGTACGCCTCCAACTCCCGGATCATCCATACCTGGACCCCAAAAGTATGTAAAATAATGGCCTTTATGGCTATTCTTAGGGGTTTAGGGCTATTATTTTACATACTTCTGGGGTTTAGGTAGGTATTAGCGTGTGATCACTTGCGCCTGGTCTCTTGCTAATCTTATCTACTCAGCTGCGAGCACGAAAATCAATGCAAAATGGTCTGAGGACATTGGACGTACCGTGGAAGCCCACAAATGAGCCTAAGAAAAGAACTGTGGTCATCAAGTGCCCGCTTGGGATTCCATGTTGGTTGGGGGGAGCGAAGTCCATGAGGGCTTGGCGAATATAGTTCAGAGGATGTCTGTGCAAATTTGGATCCAATTGGCTGGCTAAGATCTCTATGCATGGTCGTAAAATTTTCCACGAAGCATACCGCCCTCCAGCTGTGTCACGCTAGGTAATAGAGTGCACGTCCTCGTCGGCACCAGCCTCCAGCAGCAAGCGTGCAATCTCCTCGTGGCTATATTTTGCTGCAAGCGTGAAAGCTCTCGCCGCAAAAATTCTGCACGTCCTTATTGGCACCTCGGGGCCATTGCTTGCTGCATACATGAGAGCTGCGCTCGCGCATCCTTGTCCGCACCCGCCTCCAGCAGCAACTGTACAATCTCCTCGTGGCCATGGCTTGCTGCACACATGAGAGCTGTGTAGCCAGTGGTGTCTTGCTCATCCTTATGGGCACCAGCCTCCAGCAGCAATCGTGTAACTAGCAAGCTCCCCATCTCGCAAGCTTCAAGAAGCTCATTGGCGGCCTCACGCGGCTGCTTGGCCGAGGAAGGGGCCGAGAGGACCAGTTGCATGGACATGTCGGAAGAGGGACCTAGCTGAGTGGAGTCCTCCAGACTATTGCCGTTGTGCAATAGCTGTTGCATGCAAATTGGAAAGCCGTGCAGCCTGCGCAGTGTACTCTTCAAGTCTCTTACGTCGCGGACATCCTCCAAGCTAATGGCCGGCAGCTCCTGTCCTGACACCGTCCATACATGGATCATGTCGGCGTGCAGGCCAATCACAAGCAATGCAAATTAACTGAAGAACAGTGAGCAAGGTTCTGCATGTGTTGGATGGTTCAGCAAAGGCTTAGCCAGCGCTCATCCAAGAGGGTTGTACATGTTGCTGCACTTCAGCTACGCTTGTGAATGCTGAAAGTGCTCTGCGGCGCCGAAATGCGTTGTCTTTAAGCGGGGCTCCCTCTCTTATATCAACCCTAAGCCCTGAACCGTAACTAATATCCCCAAAGATACCATTCCTGCATGTAGAGAAAGGTCTAGCGTCCTTACTTGCCGCGGTTGACCTTGGGTAACATCAGATATGCTCCCAGTTGCAGCGCATAGGATCCGGAAGAATAGTGTAATTCCTGAATACTTATAATTACAAGACGTACTGCTCCGGTGTATATACAAGCTGTATAGGATTGGGTTGGGGGCTCTAGGTTTTGGTATTTAGGGTCTTGGCCTGAGGGTCTTGTGACTAGTCTGTAGTGTTTAGGCTTCAGGGTTGGGGTTTCAGGATTTGGGCTCAGGGTGTACAGTCGCCAATCTTCCTGAGGAGGGTTGCATACACACACCATAACCCCTGCATGATCGCAAGGAAAACTCCCCCAAAACCACACCCTCCCTGAAATTGATATGCTCCCCCTTCATACACCCTATCAAAGTCCACTGTATAAACCCCTTATATAACCCCCTTCAGGAGTTTAGACTACAGCTCATATGGAACCCCACAGAGCCCGCGTTACAAAGCACAGTCCTCTTCATAAGGCCCTAAACCCTAAACCCTATAAACCCTAAGCCCTTTTGGGGATTGCATGTCAGTTCGGAGCGCTCGGCCCTGAGCCTCTCACCTTAAACCCTGGAAAGCTTAGGGTTTAGGGCTTTTGGAGTTTAGGGTCTAAGGCCTAAATCATGGACAAACTTGTACTGGGGGCAGGAACAGGTAGAGAATTTGTGGTGACATCTATTTTGAAACGCCACACTTTCAGCTCACGACGCCAAACCATGTAACCTGTGCACAACACCCAAGCATTCCAGGGATTTCAGGTCTAGCGTTTAGGATTCAGGGGTTTAGGATTCAGGGGGTTAGGGTCTAGGGGTTTAGGGTTTGGGGGTTCAGGGGCTTAGGGTTTAGGACATTCCACCTACCCCCAGTGAAGGCACTGAATGTGGCTGTCATGTTGCGAGGGCAAAGCCATCCTACTGCTGTAAACCCTAGACTATGCTTTCTTGCCTGTAATTATAGTATGGCCACTTGTAGGTGCCCAAGATTCGGCGCTTGGGAGCCCTCATCAAAAAACGTTTATCTTCTAAACCCCCCTAGCCCCAAACCCAACCCCTACACCCCAACCTCCGACCCCTCGTCCGCAAATCCAAGTCCCCCAAAAGTTTCCGCTGAATTGCAACATAGGGTTTTAAACCCTAAACGCTAAACCCTAAACGGATCAAGATCACTCAGGGGGGTGGTTCAAGGGGGAGGTACTCAGGAACTTGGGAGGCCTTGGACGTGCAATGAAGGATGCAGGAGGACTGGGGATTACTCGGCATCTAGGACTGAAAAAACCCCGTACTCTAGAAATACCTGAAACCAAAAGTATATAGAGTAAAAGCCTTTTGGGCTATATCTAGATTCGATGTTTTCGGCAGCCTACGTTTAGGGTTCAGGTCCCTAAACCCTAAACCCTAAACCAATTGATGCAGGTTGCTCGTTCCCATGTACCGTACACGGGTAGTCGCTTTTATGAAGGCAGCTTGGAAGCCTTGATCCCAAAAAAACATGGTAGGGTTTAGGGTTTAAGGTTTCCTAAACCGGGCATATCTACCCCACTTGAACTATCCTCCCTTTTGGCTCCTAAGCAACATCCACATGAGTAGTGTTTTGTGGTTGAAGCCAGTAAGATTATGTTATTAATAATTGATGGAAACCACCGCAAAATCAACAATGATACTGCAGACGGGGTCAACGGAATGCAGTCTATGATCCTAAGCCCTGAACCCTTAAACCCTAAACTCTCAAACCTCAAACCTTAATGCTGTTCAAGCACCTCTCGACCCCACCCACGCCTCGTAAACACATAGTCTAATCACCTAAGCCACAAAAACACCCTGGACTGGGCTACTGTCAAGGAACCTAAGTTAACTTACTAGATTATGCGTATCTAGTACGTAATAGGGTTTCCTTACAATTTTTTTATTCAAAAACAAGCCAGTATGTGCTTAACATGCTTCTGCACGGGACCCTGAAGGAAGACGCGCTTTTGGGCGCGGCGGGTCGGGCATCTGCAGCCAGAAGTTCGGAAGATCGGCTGTTGGCAAACTCCAGCCTCGAAATGGAGCGTTGTGGACTTGGGCTATGAGCATGTGTATTTGCGGTGTAGGGTCTAGGGCATAGGGCTTCTATAGGGTTTAGGGTATAGGATTTAGCGTTGAGGGCTTTTCAGGATACGAGGGGTCCCCCGTGTATGGGCTAGTGGAACAAGTTTTTACGCGGGCCTCAGCGTTTAGGGTCCAGGGGTTAGCGCTGAGGTGCTTCGGTCTTAAGGTTTCAGGGGAGTAGGGTTGTTCTTGGTAGAGGAAATGCCCTAAACCCTAAACCACTCCGCCCGAAAGTCGCCTTGCTGGAATGCTAGCAGTCATCATGACGGGTTAACTAGGAGGGTTCAGGGGGACTTCTTAGGTAAGTCAGGAATTGCATCATTGGAGATATCATGTGGGGTAGAAGGGCTATAGCTATCATTATTTAGTCTCCCTGACCCTTCAAGTTGGCGGGCCAACCTTTTTCACGATTTGCCCTGTGGAATTGGTGGATAATAAAGTTGGCCCATCCAGCTGGTTTTCCAAAATTTCGATTTCCAAACTTTGGAAACCAGGTGGAGGCCCAAGATTTTCTCAGAAATCATTGAGTTCGTGGACAAAAGTTGGCCTGGCCAACTTTTTCGACGACTTTCTCTAAGGAATTGGCGGCAAATTTTGGTCCAGCCAACTTTTTGGAATCTTTGTACGAATCGCAGACAATCAGCTGGGGATCAAGGTCATTTCCAAAATTGACAGAAACGAAACCCATGATTTCTGAGAAAGCCTGAGGTGCTGAACTCACTGCTTGCAAATCGTGAAAGAGATTTGCAGGTCTTGAACACGCATCTTACACTGTCCACAATAGAGTTGCATGGCCCCAGCTACCCCAGATCCTGATAAGTCTGGTACTGAAGACACGGAGAATGTTCAATGTCAAAAGCGTGTACTGTAACACTCCCTCAGAGGGAGCAGACTTTAGGGGGGGTGTTGGAGACAGGTTTCCTTTTGACCCACCAAAGCACAGGTAAAATTGTGATAGACTACCATTCCTCGTCCCCTAAACCCTCAACCCTCTGACCTAGAACCCAAAGAGCTTCTGTGCAGGGTAACTGGGCTTCCACCATCAAAACCAGTGCCATCCTCCATGCAAGCCCCCTAATCCCGACATAGAGACAAAACCTGAGACTGAAATCTCTGAAGCCTAGTACCCTAGACCCTGAACGCTTAACCACAAAGCCTACTCTTCAAGTTAAGGGTTGCAGGTTTAGGGTTGAAACCCTGAACCCTAAACCCCAGATTTGGGACCCAACCTTGAGACCCTAAACCCTGCCCCAGCGGCCGAATTATGCCGTAAAGATTTGGAGTAGCGTTTTTTTGTGGTTGAACCTAGTAAGTTATGTTCCATATTTAAAGTACTACACCGCACAAGGAGGATATATTCTTGCTCTAGAGGACTTGTAATATCCCCAAATGCCGAAGAAAATCCTAATCACTTGAACCAGAGGCTAAATTGGAATTGCTCGTTAGCTTGGGGAGGGAAATCCTAGACGCTGAGCTGCTTGTCCCCCCCCTATGCGGCAAGGTAGCAGCGCCGATGTCGGCCCAGATTGCAACATCTGAGATCAATTAGGGCTTAGGGCGTTTTAAGACTAGGGGGATTTATGGTCCTAGGGTTTAGGTGTTTAGGACTTTTGGGGCCACACCAACAGAAAGCTTTTGAGCAACACAAGGGCTAAAGCGGTAAAGCTACTTTAGCAAAAGCAACGGCTCGTGTTTATCGTTTGGGGCGCAGTGCCCAACATGCCTGCCACAAAGCAAAAACATGTGCGCAGGTTGCATAGTCCCTTACTGGAATACTATAATATATCGGGACAAGATGCTATTGCGGGTGGTCTCTGAGCACAAAGCATTCCTGAACCTGTCCTCTTAACCCTCACCATGCATGAGCCCTAAAGTGTATCTGCCTGAGGAAGATTATCATTGCAAGCCTAAGTGTCCACATCCCAGTTAGGGTTTAGAGCTTAGGGTTAACCGGATTTGGGGTGCATTATTGTAAGCTAAGCTGGACCCCAACTCCGAATATGAAACTCCAAGCCAATGCAAACCCAAGCAAGCTCGCACTCCAGAGCCCCCATACCGGTATGTATAAACATATATGGGTAGCTCCCGAAATTATGTGCCCTTTTGGGGTATAGATTATATTACGGCACCTAGTATATAGGGGGACCCAAAGTGAAACCTAATTTCGGGAACCACCCATATGAAGATGATTGTAAACGAGTAAGTGAATGCATATACCTATAAGCACGAGCAGAGGGGGAACCCTAAACCCTAACCCTGCCCTAAACAATTCGGGGGGCCTTGTCATATGGGTGGTTGTCAAAATTATGATCCCTGTTTTGGATCCCTATTATAATACGGCACCTAAAAATTCAGGGTACCCAACAAAGGATCATAATTTTAACAACCACCCATATACATCCTTAGGCATTGGGTTTCCATCCTGAGAGATGCTTTTCGAGGTACAGACCCTGCAGTCCCAAACAACAAACCCTAAAGGGACTTTAATGGGAACCCGGAACAGGGAACCCTAAGAATACAGTAGGAATGTAATGGAATATAAGGACCCTGGTAGGTACATTCCTACTATATTCTTGGGGTTCCCTGTTTGGGGTTCCCATTCAAGTTCCTTTAAACCCTGAACC